AGTCTGAAATTGTTCCGTGATTTTGACGAGTCTCACTATCGCAGCTCCTTCGTCTCCCGAAGACAACCCCTCCAGCCCTATCGGTAACACATACTCTTCCCCTGCCGCAACCCACCGTCGCCGGCGAGGAAGATCCTCTACACCTAATCAATTCGCCACTCCTCCGCCTTCACGTCTCGCATCCATAAACACTACTCCTCCCACGTCTCGTCCTTCCGCCGCCAGATCCAACGGAAGAAATGGACGCACCCCAACAACACCATCGTACACCGACGAAATACCGCCTTCTTCCGAAGACGGCGCCGATGATACCACTCCGACTTTCGTCTGGGGTACGAATATCAGTGTGCAAGATGTCAAATCGGCGATTGAGATGTTTATCAAGCATTTCAGAGAAGCTAAAGAGAATAGTGCTGATTTGTTTAGAGAGGGGAAGTATATGGTTTCGATACGTAAGGTGATTGAAATTGAAGGAGATTGGATCGATGTTGATGCGTATGATGTGTTCGATTATGATCCTGATTTGTACAACAAGATGGTTCGGTACCCTTTGGAAGTTCTCGCTATCTTTGATATTGTGCTGATGGATATTGTTTCCACGATTAATCGTTTGTTCGAGAAACATGTTCAAGTGAGGATTTTTAACCTCAGGGCTTCCACTTCCATGAGAAATCTCAATCCATCTGGTTAGTTTTTTTCTTGTTCATTTGACCAGGTTTCTTAGTTCTCTAGTGTCTAGCTTAGCCTTATGTTTGAGTGTCTGTTTTTGCTTGGTCAGATATCGAGAAGATGATATCTTTGAAAGGAATGATAATTCGGAGTAGCTCTATCATTCCTGAAATCAGGGAAGCTGTGTTTAGATGCCTTGTCTGTGGTTATTTCTCTGACCCCATCATCGTGGATAGAGGTAATTTGATCATTTGGATTTTATTCATCTTTCTTTTATGTGTCTGCATAGTTTGCTTCATCAATGTTTGTTTTATTGTTAGGGAAAATAAGTGAGCCTCCTACTTGCTTGAAACAAGAGTGCCTTGCCAAGAACTCCATGACACTAGTGCACAACCGATGCAGGTAAGTTCTAGACATAGATTTTGTTTTTAATTCTGTAACTTATGCCCTTTCATTTGTGAATCAGGTTTGCCGATAAGCAGATTGTGAGGCTTCAAGAAACGCCTGATGAGATTCCTGAAGGAGGAACTCCTCACACAGTTAGCTTGTTGCTGCATGATAAGCTAGTTGATAATGGAAAGCCTGGTGATAGAATTGAGGTAAAAGCAGTACTGTTATCAGGGTAATACATGCGTTACATATGGTTTTGAACTATAATCAATGTTTGTTTTCTGGATAGGTCACCGGAATTTACAGAGCAATGACCGTCCGAGTGGGGCCTGCTCACAGGACTGTGAAATCTGTGTTTAAGGCATGTCATCTTATCTTTTCTTCTGTTAGTAATTTCCCTTTATTCTCTTTATTAAAATGTGACATTGTCATTTATGTTCTCTTATGAACTGTTGAGTGTAGACCTACATCGATTGCCTTCACATAAAGAAAGCAAGTAAGACAAGAATGTCTGCTGAAGATCCTATGGATGTTGACAATAGTCTGCGTAGAGTCGATGAAGATGTTGAGTTAGATGAGGAGAAGGTTAGCAAATTATTTAACTACATAGATCTATAGGTTTGTAACTTATTCCTTCGTCTCTCCATTTGAGCTAAGTTTTAATTTAATTTTCAGCTGAGGAAGTTTCAGGAACTCTCTAAACTACCAGATATATATGAGAGGCTTAGTAGGTCACTAGCACCAAATATCTGGGAGTTGGATGATGTTAAAAAGGGTCTTCTGTGCCAGGTGCTGTGACGCTTCTGATTTTTCCTTATGGTTTTAACTAAATCCAAATAACATTTAGTTCCTGTTATTGAGAGAAATTTCAAATGTGAAGCTTTTTGGCGGGAATGCTTTGAACTTGGCATCTGGTGCTAATTTTCGTGGTGACATCAACATCTTACTTGTTGGTGACCCTGGTACTAGCAAGTCCCAGCTGCTCCAGTACATTCATAAGCTTTCACCCCGTGGAATATATACAAGTGGCCGTGGGAGCTCAGCTGTTGGTTTGACAGCTTATGTAGCAAAAGACCCTGAGACAGGAGAAACTGTACGTTAATATTTTTTGTACTCAGCTGTTTCCGTACGTTGTATTTTGAGGGTCTTCCTAAACTTGACTTGTTAACATGAATGGTATATTGCTTAGGTTCTGGAGAGTGGAGCTCTTGTTCTTAGTGACCGAGGTATCTGCTGTATCGATGAGTTTGACAAAATGTCTGACAGTGCAAGGAGCATGCTGCATGAGGTTTGTTACTCTCTCCCTCTTACCATTCCAGTAGCCGTAGCTTACAGTTTCTGTGTTCACTTTATCGATGCGGTCTCTAGTTCATAAGATTGCATTACCGATGAACATTGTTGCTCTGCCAGGTGATGGAACAGCAGACTGTTTCAATAGCAAAGGCTGGTATTATTGCGTCTCTAAATGCCAGGACCTCTGTGTTGGCTTGCGCAAATCCTAGCGGCTCACGCTATAATCCCCGGCTTTCTGTTATTGAGAATATACACCTTCCTCCGACCTTGCTTTCTAGGTACCCTGCAATACTTCAACAAAAGTGACATTATTTTATAATAAGAATGATGATTTGGCATCTGCAGAAGCGGATCTCCAGTGGTGTCACTAATTCCATTTCATTGTCCTTCTTAGATTCGATTTGATCTACTTGATTCTTGACAAGCCCGATGAGCAGACTGACCGAAGGCTTGCAAAGCATATCGTGGCTCTACACTTTGAGAACGCTGAGGTTGTTTATATTTCCCCAGCGTCTAAGATATGTTGACAGATTAATGTGTTTTGAATTTAGCTTACGTCAATTGTATTCATTTTATCTCCATATTCAGAGTGCACAGGAGGAAGCTTTGGATATTACTACACTGACAACTTATGTTAGCTATGCCCGCAAGAACATTCATCCTAAACTATCAGATGAAGCTGCGGAGGAATTGACCCGAGGATACGTTGAGCTGAGAAAAGCAGGGAAGTTTGCCGGTAGTAGCAAAAAGGTGTGCCCTTGGAACTTTATTGTTTTTGGCTATGTCATAACAGAGGCTCATTAAAAAAGTAATATGGTTAATTTCATGCCTTAAACTCTCTAAATTTGGCAACAGGTAATAACAGCGACTCCTAGGCAAATTGAAAGCCTGATCAGACTAAGTGAGGCCTTGGCTCGGATGCGCTTCTCTGAATGGGTTAGTAAAACACTCAAATGCTGACCTGAATCGTTTAATACAATTTCCTTTCATCATTTCAAACAAACTAAAATGGTCTTGTGATGGATACAGGTTGAAAAACATGACGTTGACGAGGCATTTCGACTTCTCAGAGTTGCAATGCAGCAATCAGCAACTGATCATGCCACCGGTATGTTTCTTTGCAGTAACTTTTAAACCACTATTGTTATAGTGAGGATAGCTATTATATTTTTTTTTGATAAACACCAGCAATAGCATTCAATTCAATACCTAATCACTTACAATCTAACAATAACCGTCGTATTTATATATGTTCAAGGGACCATTGACATGGACCTGATAAATACCGGAGTCTCAGCAAGTGAACGAATGAGGCGGGATATCTTTGTGTCGTCAATTCGAGACATAGCTCTTGAGAAAATGCAAATTGGAGGATCATCAATGCGCTTATCCGAGGTACTAGTCTTTTGATTTCCCCATTTGTTATAGTGACGAAAGTAAGCAAAATCATCATACTGTTTAAGCAAGGAAACGTTATCTGTTGAGATTTGCTAAGTAGAATGGAAATGTTGTGCAGTTGCTGGAAG